AAAGGCCGTAGTAGTAGTCGTTTCCTGGGACTGCATAACAAAGAAGCACAAGCTTGGTGGTTTTGCAGGGCTCCGCAACCCCCAGCTGCAGGCCAGCGAGTGAAGCTTCATCTATTCTTGCAGCTGCTCCCCAGCGCTCACATCACTGCCTCAGCTCCACCTCAGATCATCAGGCATTAGACTCTCAGAGCATCAGTCTCTGGTGCCAAAAAGGTTGGGGACCGCTGGTTTAAACAACAGAAATTTATTGTCTTAGTTCTGGAAGCTAGTAGTCTAGCAGAGTTGGCTCCTTCTGAGGCTGTGAGGGAAGGATCTGCCCCAGACCTCTCTCCTTAGCTTGTAGACAGTCATCTCCCTGTTCCCATATCACCTTCCCTCTATGCCTATCTTGTTTCTGTATCCAAATTTCCCTCTATAAGGACACCAGTCATTGGTGTCCTAATGACCTCACTTTAATTCGATGACCTCTGTAAAGACCCTATTTCTAAATAAGGTCACAGTCTGAGGTACTGGGGATTAGGACCCCAGCATATCTTTTTTAGGGGCACACGGGCCCTAAAAAAGCTGTACCACGGGCTTTGCATACTGAGCATGACTTGTCTCTGCTGATTTCTGTGTTCAGCCTGGACATTGTGTTTCCCGCAGAATCTACTTTTCTTGTAGTTCTCAAGCTGGTTCACTTTCTTTCTTTCAGACTAAGTATGGGGCTTTATTCTTAGCAGGCCATTTAATTCTCTGAGCCAGGCCTCATGAAATTTAAGCCTTTCTTTTGTCACCCCGAATAAGCCACAGCACCCTGGGCTGTGGTCATCAGACACCTACCTGGTGCAGAAGGAAGGTAAACAGTGTGATATTGTTTTAAGAGATGTCATTCTTCTCTGGAGGGTGGAGATTTAGAAGCCTTCATCTCAACAACGCTCTTGAGAGCTGAGGTCACACAGCTGGTTATCTAAAACAGGGAAGGGAAAGAACCCAGAGAAAGACGTGAGTGGTGTCTGCATAGGCTCAGGCTCTCTGCTCATCAGTGGAATGAGAAAATGATTAAAATCTTACACCTGCTAAATGGATGAAAATGTCAGAATGACATGGCAGGTTTGCTCACTGCCGTCAGCAGCCCAGCAGGCAGCTAAGAGCAAACCAAAGATTCTTCTTAGCTCCAGATACAACCTGTTCAGGTGCAGGAGGCTGGAGCTCTGGGGCACACCTTTCTTCAGAGGACCTCTCTGTGTGGCCTGGGTGACCTGGACTCTCTGGGCCCGATATTTTTAAAAAATAGTTTTGTATAAATGAATTCCTTAAAAAATTTTTTTTTATTTTTTAAGGAACCATTTGTTCCATAATATTTTTAATTATCCAATCTATCTTTTTATTTGATTTTCACTTTTTGGAAATATTTTTTTATTGTGTTAAACTATACGTAACATAAAATTTACCATTTTAGCCATTTGTAAGTGTACAGTTCAGTGGCATTACGTACAGTGTTGTGCCCAGACTTTCTTAAGTGTGTAAAACCCTTCCTTATGCCTCTCACACGCTAAGTCAGGGACAAATTCAACCTGCCAGTGAGTGGTTAAAATAAGGAACTATACTTGAGGACATCATGCTGAGTGAAGTAAGTCAGTCACAAAAGCACAAATGCTGTATAATTCTACTCAGCGACAGAAGGTAAGTGGTGGTCGTCAGAGCCTGGGGTGGCAAGTTAGTGTTTAGCAGGTACAGAGTTTTCAGTTCTGCAAGATGAAAAGAGTTCTGGAGAAGGATGGTGACGATGGTTGCACAACAATGTGACCATAACTAATGCCACTAAACTGCACATTTAAAATGGTTAAGACGGTAAATTTTCTGTGTATTTTACCACAATGAAACATAACAATAAAAAATTAGTTATTCATATTCACCATGAAAATAAGAGCTGTTTCCACAAAACTTTCTCTTTTACAATTTGTTACCCCTATAGATGCAACTTGAAATTGGATTTTTGTTATCATCAAAGAAAGGTCAGTGTTTGTCTCCCCAGGAATGAGACCACATGGCTAATCCTTTAGGAAGTTGGAGATTATTTAATAGTCTCTCTTACACATGGAATTTCACTAGTTCTCTACCTTTTTCTTTTTTTCAGGAAAGGAGTTCATTACTTCGGAAATGGTATGATCTAATGATTCAAAATAAGGATGACCTTGCCAAGATAATTACAGCTGAAAGTGTAAGTTCGGGGTCCTAATTCGCTCCCCTGAGAAACTGTCCAGGAATTCTCAGACTAAAGCTTGGGGAAGCCACTAACTCCAGTGCTGCTCTGTAGATAAAAAAAAAAGGAATTTCTTGCCTAATGGTCAAATATCAACTAATTATTATTGCTAGGCACAAAGTTTTTCTAGTTAAGCTAGGCACTCATATTTGCTAAAACAAAATTTATATGTTCTAATTTACTCTTTAATAATATGCAGGAATAGGTATGAGTGGAACTGTGTGAATTGAATACTGTTTTTCATCATTCCAGTTTTGTTCTATGTGACTGTTTTGGTTGATTTTTCATGGGTTTTTTGTTTTGTTTTTATACATTTTAAAATGTACCAGTAATTTATCTGTAGCTATGATAAATTACTTTACACCATGGTCACAACATTGAAGATATTAGGAGAAAAAAATAGCAGATGCAGTTCTGTCTCCTCTAAAATGACTGAAAATTCAAATAATTATTGTGGTCCAGGGCGGTACATCTGACACACTTATTTCCATCACCATTTGTGATTCCGCTTTCTAAGACTCACTGAGGTTAGAAATTTCTCAACAACCCGTGGGTTTTATAAGGAGTTGTTTCTACTCTGCTCACAGCTTCAAAGAATTTCGAAACAGAGCCATGCTTTTGTTATTGGAAGGTAATGACTGTGTCCTTTTCTGATTGAATTTAGGGAAAGCCGCTGAAGGAAGCACAGGGAGAAATTCTGTATTCCGCCTTTTTCCTGGAGTGGTTTTCAGAGGAAGCCCGCCGCGTTTATGGAGACGTTATCTGTACCCCCACAAAGGAAAAGCGGGCCCTGGTCCTCAAGCAGCCTGTTGGTGTGGCCGCTGTCATCACCCCGGTATGTGGCAAGATCTGCCAGGTCCTGGGGCAGGAGACTGAACAGAGACTCAGGAAGATCTGCCACCTGTTCTCAGTTTCATGATTCCTTTGCGGGATGTGGAGGTGTTTCCTGGTCCTCTGGATAATGAGAGATGTGGGGGTGGCGAGTGGGGACACATGTTTCTAATGCCTGCAGACTGAGAGAACCCACAGGAGGACCCAGGGCTTTTCTGACTTGGCATAAAGGCTTCTTCTTGGCATTGACTAGAATGTTTGAAAAGATCCTCTAGTATTTATTTATTTATTTTGTAAGTCTTCAGATACTACGCATTTTTAATGTGTCTTAGTTTTGAGAACATTTTATGCTTAATTTATGGTTATCATCAACAGCAAAGTATCTATGGCAGGCACTGAGCCAGGTTTTGGAGGCAAAAAGGCAAAAAAATAAGATATTGTGTCTGCCTGGGTGGGGCTGCAGTATATGTGCGGAGGCCCAGTGTTCTCTCAGTGGCCAGCCTTTCTTGTACCAGGCTCTCTGAGATCTCATATTAGCTTCTCTGCAGTGTCTGCCAGCTGGTCTCCAGACCGCCATTCTTTGCCTGCTCAGCACAGTTACAGATATCACCCTTGCTGCCTAGACTGACGAGGTTTAATTCAAAGTTCACTGTTTACTAGCTGCGTGACCTTGGGCAAGTTACTTAACTGCTCTGTCTCAGTTTCCCCAAAGTGCAAGTGAGGATAATAATACTAACATCATTGGGTTGTGATGAAATTTAATTAATTATAATTTAAAAGTGCTTAGAACAGTGTCTGGCACAGAATAAGCATTATACAAGTATTTGTCACAATAAAACACTAGTAATATAGATATGTAGTTGTCTACTGACATCTGTCTATAAATATAAAGAAGGAAATAATAAATCACCTGCCATTTTCAAAATCACCTTTGCTAATATTTTCTCCCCATGGGTCAGTAAACTACAGCCTTTAGGCCACATCCAGCCTGATGCCTGTGTTTGTAAATAAAGTTTTATTGAGACACAAACACCTGTATTCATGTACATATTATCTATGGTTACATCCACATTACAGCCATGGAACTGTACATCCCACAAAGCCTAAAATATTTATTGTCTGGCCCTTTGCAGAATGAGTTTCCTGACCCTTGGTGTAGATAGATTTGTACTGTCTTAAATTCTGAAAATGTTCACTGTCTTTTTGAGCCTTTGTCCTGGAGTCCCTCAAGTTGACAGTGGTGCTCTGGGGGCTCACCTGTGTAGCAGCTTGTGAACTGCTTTGCCTGTCAGTCGTGCAGTGAGATTTGCTGACGGCTTGCTGCCTGTGGACTTTGGGGTGATGCTTCCTCTCACAGCCTCCTCTGTCCTTCTGCCTCCAGTGGAATTTCCCCAGCGCCATGATCACCCGCAAGGTCGGAGCTGCCTTGGCTGCTGGCTGCACCGTTGTGGTGAAACCTGCTGAAGACACACCCTTCTCAGCCCTGGCCCTGGCCGAGGTGAGCCTCAAAGTCCAAACAAGGGTATTGACTGAGGGAAGAAAGAAACAGTTTCAGTCTCCCTCTTTGCCTGCATCTCATGCTAGATGGTAGTGTTTTAACTTACCAGCAATTATTTTAAGTTGGATGATGCTCTTTTTAGACAAAACAACTGACAAAGGATTTTCTGACGGCTGTAGGCACTATATGTTTTAGGCTACCCCAAAACTGATATCCATCCATCATTTTTATTAAGTAGGCAGTTTTAGTAATATGACTAAAATGTAGGCATTTCTCACATTTAGGGAAACTCTCATTTACCTCTCCCTTCTCCAGTTCAATCCACATTTAGCCAGATCTTGTCATTCCTCTGTTTAAAGCCTCTAATGGCTTCCCATAGCACTCAGAGTAAAATCTAAACTTCCTACAGTGGCCTTCAAGGCCCTGTAAGATGCCACCTACCCAACCCCTGTCCCTCTCTGACCTTTCCTGTCACTCTAGAACTCTTTACCAATCTGCTCTGCCTGGTCTGGCCCCTGCCAGGCTCACCCGTAACTCAGCTTAATACTTGCTTTTCCCTGTTCTTGAAGGTTCTCCCCCGGATATGCATGCCCATGACTCACTTCTTCATGGCCTTACTCAGATGCTACCTTCTCAGCGAGGCCTCCCCTGGCCACCCTATTTGAAAGGCTCTAGTGCTTCTGACCCCCTTTCTCTGCTTTGTTTTTCTTCTCAGAGCACTTAACACCAGCTAAACTTCCAGATATCTCACGCGGTTTTGATAACCATCTGCCCCCACAAGAGTATAAAATGTATGGAGACAGGGACTTGGTCTGTTGTGTTCGCTGATGTTTGCAGAGCCCAGCCCTGTGCTGGACATAGGAGGTGCTCAGGGAATGTTTGTGTGAGGGAGGGAAGGAAGGAGGGAGGGAGGACAGACAAGGGAGGGGAGAGAGGAAGGCATTTTTTTAGATGGGCTGTTAGTTTTCCTTTTACTAATTCTTAAATCCTTGAGATATGTGTACATTACCCTTCTTAGACTCTTAAGGTAGAGTTAACAGTGCTTCCTACAAATTATAATGTTTAGGGCCAGCACTGACCCTACTTGCTTATGAAATTTATTTGAAAGCACACTTCTATATTGATTGGAAAGATTAAGGACCACATTTTTAAAAATCTGTGTAAACTGAGAGATTATTTAGAAGAAAAAAATGCAGCTTCTTAGACCTACAGAAAATAATGGGTTTTGGGGAAGGCCTAGAAACTCCAAGGATTTCCCTGGAGCCTGGGCAAGGTCGGCAGCCCTTGTCTCCATCTTCAAGACAGTCGTGAAGTCCTCGGTTCCCCATTACTAGCATCTTGCTTTAGTGTGGTGCATTCGGTACCAATAGTGAACCAATATTTATACATCATTATGAACCGAAGTCTGTACCTTATTCACACTTCCTTCATTTTCACTTAATGTCCTTTTTCTGTCCAAGGATCCCATCCAGGACACCATATCACATGCCTCCTTAGGCTTCTCTTGGCTGGAACAGTTTCCGCCTATTTTAAAATAGTGACCCTGTCTGTCTGTACAATGTTGGGGCTGTAACCATCACATACTATACTTTCTCACTTCGACTTTGCTCAGTAAGCAGCTCTACACTTCCTGCTTACCACCACTGCCTGTGTCATGCCTCCCAGTCACTCTGGGGATTCCTCAGGAAGGGCTCACAGAACAATATCCCGGTTCTGAGGTGCTGACATCAGGCTATGCCCAGTGTGCTTATAAATCTACGTTGCTGGATATAAAATCCTTGGTTCACATTTTTTTAACTTGATTATTTTAAATGTATTCTCCATTTTCTTCTGATAAAAGGTATTGCTCTTGCAAAGTCTGATGATAATCTAAGTTTCTTGGCTTTATAAGTCAGCTTGTTCTTTCTGCCTAGATCCCCAAAAGTGGTTTTCTCCTTTATTTTAAAGACCAATAATATCGCTAAAGTATGTCTTTGTGATGCTTGTTTTGGGTCAATACTCGAGGTTTGGAGTGTGCTCTTTCAATGTGTAAGTAGTTTCAGATCTTTTTTAAAAAATCTGGAAAGTTTTCAGGTTTTGTCTCTATGCTTGGTTTGGTTTCCTTATTCAGGAACTCCTGTGACCTTGTGTGTTGAATCTTTGTCACTTTCTCTTGTGTCCTTTTCATCCTTCTCTAATCTTTAAAATCATCTTTTTCACCTACTTTTCTTATAGTACTATTTATATTTATTCGTTCTTGTGTTCCTTCTAGTTTATTTTTCATTTCTGAAGTGATTTTTTTCTTATTTCTAATTCTTTCCTTTGTTCCCTCACCTCATTCCTGAAATTTTAAAATTCTGATTCATGTTGTCCTTTTAGATCTTGGTACAATTTTCTTACCATCTTTTACCTCATAGTAAATTGCAGTTTTGGACTGTTTTGTGGGCATTTCTTTCTGGTTTCTGCTTTGTTGTCTCTGAGGATGTTTTTCTGCTCTTTATTCTCTCTCTTTTTTTTTTCTTTCAATAACCTTATATGAGATTTCACTTGTGTTTTTCTGAGAATTTAGCTTACTTTTATATGAAGTTAGTTTTCTTAAATTTCTGGGAGGCCTGGCTAGAGATCGCTTCTCTACCTGACAGAGAACCTTTCTGTTTCTTGCTCTGTGAAATTCCCTGGTATCATTCCCTGGGCTCCCTCCTCCCTCATCATGTGGTTCCCAGGTGCTTATTGTGCAGCGAGTCCCTTGCACTCATGTACTGTTTATCGCATTGGGCAATTCCAGCCGCTGTTCCAAGTCCGCCTGCCCTGTGTTCCGTGAACACCTGTGGACTATTTGCGGTTCTCTGTTGTCAGGTCTGTGGGACAGCCTGCTGTCTTCTCAAGAAGGTGATGATACTCCCCAGCTGTGAGTGGTACGTCCGCACCCATTTATAATTTGCAGTTTGTGGAGATACCTTGTCAGCCAGTGTTTTGTGCCTGTCAGCCCATCAATAGCACTATCAGGTAGCAATGCCTAGGGGTGCTTACCTGGGCCCACACTGAGCTCCCACAGACATCTCTTTCAGAACCAGTGTTTTGGCTGGACCAGCCCTGGTAGTTGTTATTAGGATCACAAGACACCCTCAGCAATAACCAACAGGGAACTTTGAAATGCAAGGTTTATTACTCACAGATCGTGGAGGATACATGGCATGCCTACGGTCACACAGTGAGGTTTTGCAGATTTGTGTTTTTACTGGTGGATTTAAAATAGAGCAGAATTAAAGCACAGGAAGGCAAAAATAAGTGCCCAAAAATAAGTGGTCAGTTTTCTAAGTCAGCCAGAGTTCTCTAACACAAAAGGAAACTTTATGGGGAGGGTGGTCCTTTATCTAGTTGTATGGCTGGCATGTGTTTATTTGAGATCACCATCTGACGTGGATGCCTGGGCAATCAAAGGCTAAGTGAGGTGTGTTCATTACAGTTAAAAAAACAACTGTTAGGCGCTTACACAACATCCAGTCTTGTAAATGCCGTCTCTGATATTTTGGTTTCACTGTCTTATTGCTCTCTCTGTTTTTATGAGGGATTTTAGAGGAATTCAGAAACTCTACGGCTCCTACCATCTTCCCAGAATTGCCAGTCATCTTTGTGCAATACGTTTCTCGTCGGTGGGGTTCAGAAGTTAAAATCATTCAGGATATACCTTACCTGAAGAGAATCACCGTGGAAAGAGCATGGTTTCAGGCCAGGCAGCCGTGGGTTAGCCTGGTTCTGTTAACTCCCGAGCGTGTGGCCGTGGCACGATTCTTTCTTACTGGGCCACCTTTCCTCACCACTGTGCAGGAGTCACCTGTGGAGAGGCCAGCACCGCTCTGCACGTAGTAGGTGCTCCATAAATGCTCTCTCCACTCTCTCCTTCTGTGGGTGAGCCAAATAACTTTATTCTTAAATTCTCCTCTGATTTACTTAGGAAAGAAATCCAAGGTTGACCTTTCCTTCTTTCTTTTTTTTTAACAGAAGGTGGCATTGAAACTCATACTCCAAGAAATTTTATTTTAATGATGTGTAACAACACATTAATATCACATTACCACTAATAAGAATCTCATTTAAGTTCCGAATATATTCTTATTCTGTCCCCAAAACCAGCTTAGTTTTTTTTTTCCATTACTTTTTGGATTAAAACATCTATTTATTTCTCTTTTCTGTGTTTTCATTTGCTGCCACATGCTTGCTGTTTCTCTCTACAGCTCGCAAACCAGGCTGGAATTCCTCCAGGGGTGTACAACGTCATTCCCTGCTCCCAGAGAAAGGCCAAGGATGTAGGGGAGGCACTTTGCACTCATCCTCTTGTGTCCAAAATTTCCTTCACTGGCTCAACAGCTACTGGAAAGGTATGTGACTCAAGTCTCAAAGAAAACACATGTCATTCTAATATTTCCTCTTTATAGTGTATAAAAATACTATTTCATCTTGATTACCATTTGTAGGAAGATGTCCAGCAGAGTGTTAAAAACTCTGTCAAATACAGTAACATCTGATCATCCTCTGGAGATATTTTGAGTGGAGTACCTCACAGTGACATGACATAGGTTCCTATTTGACAAAAAGTATCAAAGCAGTTGGGCAGTGAAAGTTCCCTTTATTTGTTTTACATGAAGTAGCTGAGAGCTATCCATCCTATCTCCTCAGTTCTAGAATGAAGGTTTCTTTCATACAATTAATGTTGAAATGAATGTCTTAAAATTTAACAAAACTTGTATTTAGCATAAAAGTACAGTAACAGAAAGGATTTTTTTTTGTTTGTTTGAAAGAACTGAAAAGTTCTTACCCCAAAACTTCATGTGTGCTCCTGTGAATAGATTTTTATTTACCCTTTTAAATGTTGAAAAGAGCAAAAGAGCAGAGAACAAAAGTTTTTATTTATGGTATTTCTCTCCAGATAGTATACCTTTTTCTGCTAATACACACACACACACATATATATGTATATGTATATATACTCATACTAGACACATACATGAACACATATCAGATAAAAATAATATAAATCTAATCTGAAAGTTCTTGGGAAACTGTGGTCATTTCTAGATACCATGAGAAGCAGGAAGTAATAAAGCAATTTAATAACTCATCGTGTGTTGTGCCATAAAACTGTGCCCAGGGAGTGGCACTCTGGGAGCCTGCCTTTCATCTATACCAGAAGCAGGAATTTTAGATCCATAAACTGTTGTGCCATAAAACTGTGCCCAGGGAGTGGCACTCTGGGAGCCTGCCTTTCATCTATACTAGAAGCAGGAATTTTAGATCCATAAATAGCCTTGATCAGTGGATCTTACAGTGTGAATTTACTCTCAGAGGTTTTAAACGTTACTAGGAAGTAGTCAGAAAAAAAGAGAGGCCTGGGAGAAAGCATTGTAAAACTTTGCTGTTGAAGCTAGAAAAGTTTCCAAGATGCTGGGCAAAGGCCAGCAAATCATTGCTTTTCCTCACTGTGCTTAGCGAACTGTCACTATCTGACAGCTCCCGAGACAATGCCTACCATGTTCCTGCCAAGTCCAACTTGCCTTTTAAATTATTTATCCAAGACAATGATTTACTGCAAGTGGCTTGCAAGGAGAGTGACAGGGATCCTAATGAAGGAATAACTACTCTGAATACCAGGGGCCTCTTCTGAGCTAATATTTATGGAGAATCAGTGGCTGAGCTAATCTTCAGACACAGAATCTTGCCTCTAACTGAACCACAGACAGTGAGCCTTTTCTGGAGATGCCCACCCTGCCCTCACCCCCCTACAGGAGGACCACCCCTCTGGGGCACCTGTGGGCACAGCAACCATGTTTATAGCACATAACACATCGTCTCTTCCCACACAGAGAACTGAGCCACGAGTGACTATCTGACCTAAGGAAAACAGACTCATAAATTGGCCAGCGACCTAAGACAAGTGACCTGGCATAGAGAAATGAGCCAGGCAGTCACAGTCCATCTCTAGGACTTTGGGAACTGAGGTCCTGAGAAGGTTGGCAGTGGGAACCGGAGTAGAAAGGGTTCCTTACACAGTGACAGGAATGCAGGCAGTACTGCAGGGTCATGGCAGCCAGAGCTAGGTTTAGTCTGTCATCCTGAGGACCGAAGGGCAGAACACGTGGCCAGAGGACACAGAGCCAGTGTGTGCAGAGGGAGGACACCTCAAGACAGGTCCTGTGCCCATGACTGGGTAGAGTCAAGTGACCAAAGTAAGCAAAGTCAGGAAGGTCAGCGGCCTGGCAGAGAGCATTTCTTAAAACTTCAAAACAGAAATAGCAATCTTGAGTCCAATACAAAAATATGTTTCATTTTAAAACTTGCACTGCTTTGTCAAATAGTAATATTTCAATGAGAATATCATTACTACTATTTAATTGCTGGAACATGGGATGAGTGACGTCAGAAACATGGTGGAGTGAGAGATATCTCCAGATTTCTCCCCTTGAAACAACAATAAGCTGAACATCTAAAACTCAACAAAAAAACACCCAAACTGCACACCAGCATATCTGAGCGTGGGATCTACACATAAGAGCTACCACAGGTTAGAACCCCGGGTGTTGGGCAGTGGACTGCAAGAAACAAAGAAACCGCCTCTCACAGCTGGAGCTCCCTGCAGGAGTTGGGGGAGGGGAGAAGGTGTGGCAACTTCTCTGAACAGCCCTGCCTGGGAGTGCTGTGAGCTTCACTCAGCGGCAATGGGCAGAGACCAGGGCAGAGACCAGGGCAGAGGGCAGTGAAGCGGGGATGGCAGAGAAGCAACAGTTGATTGTTACCAGCTCCAGTTGCAAAATGCGAGCCTGAGCCACAGCCCACATCCTCCAACCCAGAGGAATCCTGCCCCCTTATCCTCTAAGACCAAACACCACAGAGCCCTAGGGGAATCAGCAAACGCTACCAAAACTGTCGCTAACACTGACAGGGACTGAGACTGAGGGTAGTGAGTGGGATTGAATATTTATAAGGGAAAAAAAAGGCATTATTAAGACATTATGTAAAGCAGAGATCCAAGGGGCTTAAATGCCACCTACTGGAAACTAAAAGAAAAATGCCTTCTTAGCAACAAGCTAAAGACAGATTTTTATATAATAAATCTTTCTCGGGGGGGAAAAAAGCAGAATACACTTCTATTAATGCCCAGGTGGAGAAATGGTCCATTAAGCACCATGAACAACCAAGGTGACAAAGCAGCTCAGAAAGAAAGAGA